GTTTGGAGCCAGCATGGGTTTGGATCCAGCAGACCACAAGTTGCAGTCTCACCTTACCCACTGACTGATGTTAATGCTGTGCACTTCACAAATCTTTATAAGGCAAGGGCATGAGACTGATTATTAAGGCAGGGAAGTTTCATTCCCCCATTTATAGGTAGACAGATGTTGCATGAGCATCTTGTCTGGCAGAACTTGGAACAGAACTCAGGTCTCCAATATGGCACACCTAAAATCTCATCCCATTACCCATATAGAGCGACTTTTCGAACCCATCCCAAAACAAAAAAACCCCAAAACACAAAAAAAAACAAGGAAAGTACACACAAATCCAGTTTTCAAGTGGTGAACATCCTATATCTGACATTGAACACATCACTATCCCCCAATTACCTTTTGTCTTGTGCTGAACCAAGTGCCTGTCTGGAGAAAAGGTAATTTCATTTTACTGGCAAAATGGAGGCATCTAGAAGTGAAGTGGCTTGTCCAAAGTCTCAGTCATAGTCCAGTGTATTAACAACAATGCTAGTCTTCCTCTAGTCCCAATGTTACGGATGGCAATTATCTTATTGAACACCAATTATATAGCAAACAACATGAAGCAACAAGTAGAACTGCTGTCTACTGATGCCTTACATTCCTAAAACAAGACACTCAGATGAGACCACTGAAACACAAGCTACTTATGTCTGGAATGTGATGTTACTGCCAAGAATCATTATGCCTATCAATACAGGGATCAAAACACCCAATCCCTTAGAAGTTAACTCCCTCCATTCCTTCAGATTCCCAAAATGCAACCGTCTCAAACACCTAATGTCTATCAAAGGAGTGAAATTACTGTAATTGGGAATCCAAGTAAGGTCCTCCAGGACACAGTGTAAATGTCATCTACATTTGCAGCAGTATTCCACTGCAAGGGCCCTCCAAAAGGAATGAGAGACTAGTTCAACACTATTCCATGAACTCATGTGCACGGTAGGGCAAGAGTCTATTTCACCTGGCTTCAGTGTCAAGGGTGTAAACACTACAAACCTTGAAGGGGATGAGGGGGAAATACAATGAGAAAGCCCCATATTCAGTGGTCCAGTTCTTCCCCACAGAAAATGACTAAACAGATAATTGGCTGGTGATGGAAAGTTTAAGAATCTCCTAACTTTTGAAGCATTTACATTCACAACCTGTACATAGCTAATTGTTTTTGAAAGGAGTTGACAGAGAGACTTGTCTTAAGCGCTCATTAAAAAAATTTTAGCTTAGGAAAAATATTCTACAGCAGAACTTGCTACGCAGGGTTCTACAGCCTTAGTACATGAGCATCTGTAGGTCAAGCAGCCTTAGGTTTCAGCATGGTATTGAGTGACATTTTTAAAAAATGCAGGCTAGGCACAATGCTGAGTATGGTTTAATATTTTAAGGTTCTCATTAAGGTCCCCACCTAGTCAAAAGTAGTACAATGAGAGTTAGGTTTAAAGAAATTCAATATCACAAACAACATTTCACTAACCCTATACACTGACTGCAATTAAGCGTGTTCTTTTTTGAAAGATTCTACAGATATGACTCCCTATATTTAAAACAAAAAATATTAGTATACTCAGTAATCCAAGTGCATCCTTGCAGCAGTGTAAAAGAAAAAAGTCAAGATTTTTTGTATTATATAGCTTTTAATAAAGATTTCATTTAAAATCTTATACACTGTACTGCAGTAGGATAGTCATGATGTTACTGTTTCACTATGACAGTGGTTTATACAGAATACAAATCATACTTACTGGTTTGTTTAGATGATGTCCTACAGAATCTGCTAAAGTTCCTATGGCATCATAAAGGATGAGAAGATTCTTATGCTGGTATTTACTAAATGCGAAGACCAGAGTGTCAAGTATATATGCAAGGTAAGGAACAAGCTCTGTACAAGCCTCCTCTTCTAGAGTAGCAAAGGCACTAAGGAGCAAAACAAGAAGTCAGATTGTTAAATCAATATAATTAAGAAGGTGACATTTCCATTTAGGGTTTGGATGGGATTTCCAGCTCAAGATATACTCCCGCTAGCTCAATTAGGGCTAGTGTACAAAACATAGAATGTAGCCACAGCAGTGAAAGCATCTGGAAGGGCTAACCAACCCAGGTACCTAGCATCTGTGATGAGCGCACATTTGGTGCAACTAGCCCCCCTGCCCTGCTACACTATTTTTAGCACACTCGCTCGATGATAGCTAGGATTGAAAAGGTCTCCTTGAGCTACCCCCACTCAAAGTGAAGACATATCCTTAAACAGTTTGCCCTTTTAAAATTATTCTGAAATGTGTTTCTACAATGGCACGGATATCCAGGAAACCAAACCTTTCAACTAAAAGTTTAAAGGGGCCCAATTTTAACATTTCTGGTGAACATAAAATTCAGACACATTCTCTTAAAGCCTATCATGCAAATGGGGAAAACCAGAAGTACTATTATAAATTTAGCTGCAGTGGGTTAACTGAAGCAGCGGGAACTCTAACAATAGCTGTTCATCATTTCGGATATATAATGGGTTATTTATTTGTACTATAGCAGCACCTAGAGGCCCCAACTCCACTGTGCCTGACAAAGTCTAACCCTAATGAGGAGGCAGTTCCTGCCCTCAAAAGCTCACGATCTAACACAAAATGGATATAAAAAACAGATATGGAGAGCAGAAGTGGCAAAAGTCAAATGATGAGCCAGTAGAGGGAACAGATTTTTTTCCAGTTTTGGGAAAAATAGAGCAGTTTTACATAGACACACACTATATGGAGTTAGGCCCCAAGGGAATCAATTAATAACTCCCTAAAGATGTAGGGAAATGGTCCTGGAGATGGAACATGCCATTCCCCAGGCACATTTACGGCAGAAAGAACACATATGATTGGATAGTGCAAAGATTTTATTGGCCTGGATTGGGTCAAAAAAGTACAGATTAATATACTACAGTCTGTCCTGGATGCTAAAAAGTTGCTCCCTTTAGAAAAAGTGATCATGCCCCTCTACTACTACTCTCAGTTATAGAACGGCCATTTTCCTACATCACAATGGAACCATAGCACACTGTAGGTGGGCAGTGATTATGTTATTTAGTACCTACAGGTATTCCGCCTAAGAGGCATTAAAAAGCAAGCGGGTTAGAACTGTACAGGTACAACTGCCCCTTGGGCTGGGGATACCCAAGAAATTTCTTATTGGCAAAGGGACAAGTTTTATGTTTGGGGTTATGTAGAAATTACACAGATCTGAAAATAGACAGTATTATATAACAATGGCACTTTTCAGTACGGTAGCTGCTTCAGGCCTTGAAATCCTCTCTGCTGCATAGGGAATAACATTTTCTGCAACGCTGCGTCCTATACTTTTGTGCAACTTGTAAAGATAGCAAATAAGATGCCTGAAAGACATTCCTATTGACACTACCAATTTGAATAACCAAGCCTTGTTGATTTCCCAAGGCTTCACATTTTTCACAAACTCACTCTCGGGATTATTTTTCAAAGGATGTTTGATTTCTAAATGCTGCAGCAACTCTGAAGGGCTCATACTCTTAGCAGCCAGCACTTCAGAATATACTACAACCCATGGTATTGGCTCAATCTATGTAAAACCATGCTGCTTTATATTTTTTCTTACAAGCCATCACTATGACAGCTCGCCACTGTCCATTTCATGAAATAATCCAACTTTCCCAATTAACCCTTTATCACTGCCCATGGTCCTCAGTGATTACAGCCACTGGAGCTCTAACTGTACATTTTGCCATTGCCAGTTTGGATTACTTGCACTTTATGCTGTGTTTGTGGGTTAAAAACTTGTGAAGTGGACATTCTGATGTCAGCAGGTTCCGGCTCATTCTATAAAAGGATGGAAAGTTATCCCTGTAAGAGGGCAGGCAGAAAGGATTTTACGTAAGCAGCAGATCAGATTGGCTGAAAAGGTGGGTAGGTTTCGGGAAATAAACAAAAAGGAAAAAATTTTAACAAGTTTTGTACTTGTAAATATTTTGCTGTAGTACCTTGAGTCTGTTAACATCTCTCTATTTTGTAAGAGTAAGCTCTTTTGCACAAGGATGTGTCTATTCAATTTTGTACAGAACCTAGCACAATGGGGCTCTGGATCCTGGCTATGGCCTTTAGGCATCAGGGGAATACAAATACAATTAAAATAGTAAATCCAAGCACAGGAAGGTTATAGGTTTAATACAGCCTGCTGCACACAATCATATCCAGCAATATGCTACACTGAAACAGTTAGTAGGGTTCCTGGGTACAAAAGCTTACACGAAGTTGTCCATTTTAAGGAGCAATTTTAAGTTTGCTGAGTTTTTAAAAATAAAGTTATATTATTGCACAGCCTCTCAAGACTTCCTTTCATGACCCCTGCAAGAGTTGTGACCCACAATTTCAGAAATCTTGCATTAAATCTAATCTATTTACATAATTCTATTATAGCAATAGTTGTCTTCCATTTTCATTGCCACTGATCTTGCACATACAAGAATGCAAATCAGTAACGAAGTTAGCTTTTCCTTTTAAGGCAACATCAAAATTACCACTTAATGAAAGTCAGGTACTGCATACAGACAATTTCCCTTATTGTACTAAAGTTCTTTAGTGCAGTAATCAACACATTTAGAGATCAAACTGGACATCTCAAAGCGAACTAAAATCACCAAGAGGGACTTATGAATCCTACCACATTTGGAGTAAAGTTCATTTTACAGAAAAAGATATATATTTAAAAAAGAATTTAGGCCTTTTTATTTATTTTTTAAATAAGTTACTAAAGTACTTATTTTATGCAAACCAAGTACAATAACTTTCTTGACTTACCTGCAGGCAGCTTCTTGTACTCTCTTGTTGCTATCAAGGATACGTTTTAGCAACTCTGTCATTAATGGCTTCAAGTACGTGTCTGGGGGTTGACTAACTACCCAGTGTGCATAGCGGCTAAGAGTCCAGCATGTAATGGAGCGCACAAGAGCCTTTTTATCAGAGAGGCACTGAATAAGGTGAGGGATTAGTTCAGGAAGATATGGAATCATACCCTGCATGCAACCTACAAACACAAAAATATGTAATGTAAAATAGTGCTGTTAGAAAGGCTTAAAATAACTCTGGCTTAATATTTCTCTCTTTACTGAGACACTCTGAAAAGGTGCCAAAAGAGAGAGACTAAATCTTACCAATATGCAATCAGGCTTATCATGCCTGGAAGGCCTTACTATCTGTTCAACAACAATTTATTACTTTTTGCAACTTGTCAATCCATTTTCATGCAAAATTATCAATATCTTCCACTGCTCCCATGATACTCAAAAGCCTTGGTGTGCGAACGGTAGTTTAACGAGCACATCTGCTTAATAAAATTAGTTTGCAAGTTTGTGTTAATTTACTTTGTTTGATAAGACACAGAAGGTTAGCGCCTCAGTTATAAGAATATGGGCTACAGTTCCCTAAGGGTCTGCTCCTTAATGGTGGATCATTAATACTGCCAGTTTCCTGTGTTAAGGAGAATTAGGCTGTCCTACTCCCTCACTGCTCTCCATTGGAAGTATCCAAAACAGAGATCAAGACCGTTCCTAGCAATGTTCCCTCCCTTACAATTTCCAAGGAGCAGCAGCAGGGAGCAGAGCTGCCTAACTGCTTTCAGCCCAAGCAACTACCGTCTTTCCCCGAAAATAAGACCTCCCCGGAATATAAGGCCCCGAAGCTACCGTAAGGCGTCTGACTCCTCTGGACTGTAGCGGCGGGCGCCGCCACGCAGCTCACTGATTGGCCGCAACAATAAATGTGTACCGTATTCTTCTTCATGGAAAAATAAGACCTCCCCTGAAAATAAGACCTAGCGCATCTTTGGGAGCAAAAATTAATATAAGACACTGTCTTATTTTCGGGGAAACAGGGTAGTACCATATTCCTTAGTCCACAGGTGCACTACATAGTTAGGACCTTCTTTTCCTCTCTTGGGAGCTCTGGGGAAAAGGGGGAAGAAAGAGTGGGTGAACAGAGGTAGGGAGAGACAGACAAGATCAGTGCCACATGTTGAGCAAGACAGGAATGATGATGAATGAGCAGGAGTAGGCATTCATGCAAGAGACTCTTGACAAAACAAGACATCCATTAAAGAATGTTGCCATTAAGCAATACAACTAAGTAGAGCTAGGTGAAAAATTGTGGACAAATAGTTTATTTACCAAAACTGCAGTTCAGAGTTGACCAAAACCTATTCGTTAATTCGACATGAATTCCTCTAATAGTTTCATCTAGAATAAATAAATAAAAGGTGGAGAGGGAGTCCCCTAATCACCGGACAATACAGTGACTCTCACTCCCTCTGGGCCAATTAATGTTTAAGTATTTAAACAGAATAGAACAGCTTCAACAGGAGAAAGAGACCCACCCCACAATCACCCTGTATCCCAGTAGTTCGGATCACTCATCTACAAAGTTCAAATTCCTGCTCCAAATCAGGCAGAATAGGGACCTGAATCTGGAACTCCTACATCCCAGGTGAATCCTCTAACTACAGCACTGTAGGGTATTAGGGCACCAGTATCTCTTCCAGTGGTTTTGTAAGAGTTTTCAAATTTTCTTTGAGTTTAATTAAAAAAAAAAAAAAAAAAAAAAAAGAGTGGTCAACTGTCCAAAAACTAAACAAGCTATTAATTTCAGGCCAAACTAAATGTTTAATGTGATTAGGAAAAAAAAAGTTGCCTACCTTTTGTAACTGTTGTTCTTCAAGAGGTGTTGCTCATGTCCATTTCATTCAAGGTGTGCGCGCGCCAATGTGCACAGCCATCAGATTTTTTGCCTTAGTGGTATCCATAGGGTTGGCTGTAGCGCCCTCTTGAGTGCCGCACTCATGCGTTGGTATATTCGGCACTGCCAACCCTACACCCTCTCAGTTCCTTCTTGCCAGCTCCTCCAACAGAGGGATAGGAGGGTGGGTAATGGAATGGACATCAGCAACACATCGAGAAACAACAGTTACAAAAAGGTAGGTAACCGTTTTTTCTTTGAGTGCTTGCTCATGTCGATTCCATTCTAAGTGATTCAAAAGCAGTATCATCGGAGGTGGGCTCGGAGTTCTGTCTAGCAGCTTGCAGTACTACTCTACCGAAGCCAGCATCATCCCAGGGCTGCTGGGTAAGTGCGTAATGGGATGTGAATGTGTTGACGGACGACCAGGTGGCCCCCTACAGATGTCCTGGATAGGCACTTGGGCTAGGAAAACTGTCGAAAAGGCTTGCGCCCTGGTTGAATGGGCAGTTACGATCGCCAGAGGTGGAACCCTGGCCTGATCGTAACAGCAGTGAATGCAGGCAGTGATCCAAGAAGAAATTCTTTGAGTGGACACTGGACAACTTTTCATCCTGTTGGCCACTGCGATGAATAATTGCGTCAACTTGCAGAATGGCTTGGGGTCCTTTCAGTGCAGAAGGCTAGTGCCCTCCTGACGTCTAGGGAGTGCAATCTACGCTCCTCCTCCAACTTATGCAGCTTTAGAAAAAAAGACAGGTAAGTAAATGTCCTGGCCCATAGGAAACGGAGACCACCTTGGGCAGGAAAGCTGGGTGTGGCCACAGCTGAACCTCATCCTGGCAGAAGACCGTATGGGGCAGTTCCGAGGTAAGCGCCCTAATCTCAGACACCTGGTGGGCAGATGTTATCGCAACGAGTAACACTACCTTTCAGGATAGGAGAAGGAGAGAGCAGGAAGCCAAAGGCTCGAAAGGGGGTCCAGTGAGCCATGACAACACAAGATTCAGGTCCCATGGCGGAACAGGGTCCCCAACGTGCGGATAAAGGCGCTCAAGGCCCTCGAAGAACCTAACAGTCATGTCCTGGGCGAAAACCGACCTACCCTGAAGCAGCAGACAGAAGGCCGAACTAACGACCAAGTGGACCTTGATAAACGAAAGGGACAGGCCTTCGAGCTTGAGGTCCAGAAGGTAGTCCAGAATCCAGAATCAACTACAACGAGACCTGCTCGGGCCGAATACCTTTATTCGAGGTCCAATAAGCAAACCACTTCCATTGGGCCAAGTAGGTCATTCTGGTGGAGAGCTTTCTGCTGCCCAACAGGACCTGCTGGACAACAGCCGAGCACTCCTGCTCCTCCACATTTAACCATGCAGCAGCCAAGCCATCAAGTGCGGTGTCTCCGAGTTCGGATGCAGAACACTGCCGTGGTTTGGGACAGCAAGTCCGGCCTTAGCGGCAGCCATAACAGAACAGCCACTGAGAGGTTCAGCAGAGTGCCGTACCAGCGCTGGCGCGGCCAAGCTGATGCTGAGGATCACCTTCGCCCTGTCCTGCTTGATTTTCACGAGGACTCTGAATCAGTGGCACAGAAGGGAAGGCATACAACAGAGCCCCTAACTATGGGAGCAGGGAGCCTCTGTCGATCCCCCAGAACAAGCAGAATACGTACTGGACGCGAACAGGCCCACCTCTGGAAGACGAAGCTAGCCACTTCCAGATGGAGGGACCATTTGTGGCAAGATGAGACGGTCCTGATGAGGCAATCTGTCAAAGTATTCCTGGCCCCGGGGAGGTGTGGCTACAAGATGGATGCTGTGTTGTATACGGGAGTTCCAGAGCCTGGGGGCTTCTTGGCAAAGGGCAGACAACCTGGCCCCACCTTGCTTGTTGCTATAGAACAAAGACGGTGTATTGTCGGTCAGGACCTGGACCAGCATGCTTTTTATGTGAGGTAGGAAGGCTTCGCAGGCCAGGCGAACTGCTCAGAGCTCCCTGACGTTGATGTGCAGGGAGCAATTGTGACTCGACCAACGACCTTGCATGCTGAGCTTGCCCAGGTGGGCTCCCCACCCAAGGTCCTAGGCATCAGAGACCAGGGTCACTGACAGTGATGGAGCCATGAAGGGAACCCCCTCCAACACCGATGCAGGATTCCGCCACCATGTGAGTAACGACAGTACATGGTCCAGGACCTTGATCACACAGTCCATCCTCTGTCTGTTGGGGACATAGACCAACAGTAGCCAAGCCTGTAGGGGGCCTGAGGCAGGGCCGCGCATGCCGGACCACGTAAGTGCAGGATCATAGGCACATGAGCGTGGTGGTGAGAGGGTGGGCTTGCATGCATGAGATCAGGTCCGCCATGTCTTGGAACAGAGCTTCAGGGAGGACCGCTCCAATGAACTCAGCATGGTACAGGCATTCAGATTGAGGTCTTCTAATTTATCAACAGCCCCATATCACGACAGTTGGAGCAAACCAGATCAAGAGGCCGCCGCACCTGATCCCGGGACCAGCCCTTTATTAGCCAGTCTTCAAGGTATGGATAAATTTGCACGCCTCAGGTAAGTAGCCACTGGTGCTATGCACTTCATAAACTCTCTCGGGGTGGACGAGAGACCAAAGGGCGGCGCCGTGAATTGAAAATGGCGGTGGTTCAACACAAAACAGAGGAAATGCCTGTCCCCTAGGGAAATGGAAATATGCGTCCTTTAGTTCAAGGGTGGCATACCAGTCTCCTGGATTCAGGAAGGGAATAATGGAGGCCAGAGACACCATGTGAAACTAACTTCTTGAGAGACTTGTTGAGGCAGTGCAGGTCCAGAATGGGTCTGAGGCTCCATTTTGCCTTTGCAAGGGGCCCACCACCGCTTGGTCCGGAGACAACAAAAATGACTGCACAGTAGGGGGAGGGTCTGCTTCCCCTTGCTTGTCCGTAGATGGCTCTTTGGGCATCGGGGCACGCTGTGTTGCCCCCCGCATCAGATTCGGTACTGTGTTGGGACTCGGGTGCTGGCTGTGCTGGGGGCAGCTTGTCTGATGCAGCCTGGGAGGAACGGTGGGACTACGGGACCGGCAAGACAGGTACACCCCATGGGTTCCAGTACTGCCACTGAACAGGCTATTGCCCCTGCCTCCACCCTGCTGCTGCAGGAGCCACATCGGTCTCATGGACTGGTGGCGATTCACCTTTTATAGGCGAGGGGCTCAACTCCCCTTCAGGCTTAGACCATTGCCCTTCCAGTGACCAGGGCAGAGCCATAGATGCCTGAATCTGCCAACTGACCCTAG